ACTGGGTTGACAATAAAAACGAAGTCAAGAAGGATCCGATTGGGTACACATTGGTTGAACTTGGTAGGTTAGGCCACAAAGATGATCCATTCATATTGGCCTCACAAGCACGACAAGTATTCTACGTTACAGACCAACTGAATAAAAAAATGTCAATTGTCTTCATGACACCTCCCAAAAATTATAGAGATACATATGACGACGTCGATGAGGAATTTAGTATTGTACTTTTTCCTCACAATGACAATATATTGCCACGTGTAGATCCACTTGACTTGCGTAAAGAATCACGAAATGATTATTTTCGGACTGACTGTCCAGGTATAGTCATACATAAGGTATAAATTTCTCATTCACATTCTAATTCTATCATTTGTTTTATTTCAACCGTGAACATCCCATGTTTACATGTTTATATACATTTTTCTGATTCTAATGATTTCGTTTGTTTGTATCAGGAACATGAGAATCCTTGATCCTAGTGTTATTTCAAGAGGGAATTATAATCATTCTATTAAATTTAGGTAATTTTAATTATATATATTGAGTTTTTGGTCAACAAAACTTATTTGAGTCATTTTTGTCGGGTGAACTAGTAAAACAGTAAAAAATCAGTTTTTTGGACATTAAAAAAGATAGTTTTACTAGTAAAAAATTTAGCTTTTAAATTCTTTTGGTCATTTTGACCATTTAGGTCCATTTTTGGCTAGTTGGTCAAAAAGACCAAAATGGTCAATTTGGTCATTTTATAAAGCTTTATAATAGAGAACTTATGGTTTAGGTATTCAACATTTTCACATTATAGGTCCAAATTAAAGTGTTTGGACCGTGTTGGTTATTTTGACCATTTAAGCCTTTTTTTGGGATTTTGTTCAAAATGACCATTTGGCCAAATTTGGTGGTTTCATCCGGTAAAACAATAAAAAAAATCAGTTTTTTGGACATTAAAAACATAGCTTTACTCCTAAATTTTTAGCTTTTGGATCCTTTCGGTCATTTTGACAATTTAAGTCAATTTTTGGCTAGTTGGTCAAAAAGATCAAAATGGTCAATTTGGTCATTTTATTCAGCTTAATCATAGAGAACTTATACTTTATGTATTCAACATTTTCACATTATAGGTCCAAATTAAGGTGTTTCGACCGTGTTGGTCATTTTGACTACTTAAATCTTTTTTGGGCATTTTGTTCAAAATGACAATTTGTCCAATTTTGATAGGTTTATTTGGTAAAACATGAAATATTTAGTATTTAAGATATTTGAAACTTTGGCATTACTAGTATAAAGTTTAGCTTTTGGACCCTTTTGGTTATATTGTCTATTTAGGTCCATTTTTGGCATGTTGTTCAAAAAGACCAAAATGGACAATTTGCACATTATATTCCGCTTAGTAAAAAAAAAATCAGAATTTTAGTTTTTTTAAACGTCCCAATTCTAGTAGAAAGTTTCTTTTTCGGACCAGTTTTGTTATTTTAACTATTTAGGTCAATTTTTGGCCTGTTCATCAACATGAACATTGGCCAACGTTATTTTTCTCAGTATGTTCAGCTCGTAAAATAAAAATAAAAAACAGTAGTTTGCTTATTTGCAACTTAGTATTTCAAGTTTTTTCTAATTTATCGTTTTTAATGTTAAATTACTGATTTCCCCTTGTGCCTATGCAGGTCTTCACAGCCCCAGTAACCTCCTTCCACATACCCTTCAACCTCTCAAAGTTCATGCATTAAAGGTTATACTTTGTGTTTTGTTGTCTAGTGCTTGATACCCCAAAGTTAGTTGTCTGAATGAGAAAAAAGGTTTCTTCGAAATTTGCTCGAAGTAGTGTATTCTAGTTGGCAGTTGCTATTGGTTCTCCCTTAAAAAAATGTCAATTAGTTGATGTTTATTAATTAGAATTAGAACTAGAACTCCTTTGTCTCATTTATGTTTTGACCCAAAAGTGACAATAATACATTTATTGCTAAACTATTTTTTTAACCAAATTAAATGGTGGATTAATGATGGAGAGCTCTAATTATAAGAGTGTACTTTATTTTTCTCTCATTGTAATTGTACTATTCCCAGTTCTTTGTTAGTATTTTAATTTAATATAATTTATTTTGTATTCAAATTCTCTGAATTTATATTATTTTATTTAATCAATGATCAATTAAACCATTACTGTATTTACTTTGACTATTTTTGCAAAAGATGTTTAGAGTTCAACTATTAAACATTGAGTATTAGTGACAAAAAATACTTATGGCTACATGTTTTTTTTTTCTGTTATCATAACAAAATATTCACGTTTCGACACACATAAGAATTAAACAGTAATCATGAAATACTAATAGTGATATGTTTCTACTTTTTTCACGACGATTGCTTACTTTTAGTCGCATGTAAAAATTAAACCATAACCATACAACACTTGTAGTTCAAGGTTCTTTTTTCATTAAACCTTAAGCATATAATACTTATAGTCCTTGTTTTTTTTCCTTAAAACATGGTCGAAGAATACTAAAGGTCACATGTTTTTTTTATGATTATTAATATTTTTTACTTAATCACCAATATATATGAAATGAATAAATGTCCACAAAATAATAATAGTCATATATTTTTTTTCTTTTACCAAGACTATTTTTAACTATTAAACATGCATAAGAGATTCAATCATGACTATGTGTTCTAAAAATTGGCAATAAAATACTTATAGTCACACGTTTTATATATAATCATAGTTTTATTTTTATTTTTATTTTTATTTTTATTTTTGTTTTTATTTTTATTTTTCGCTTTTACACACCTAATAATTTAATCAGTAACCGTTAAATACTTACAATCATTTTTTTTTCTTTTATGATGACTATCTTTTACTATTATACATATACCAAATTGTAAAAAGTAACAATAAATTACTTATAGTTACAAATATTTTCTTTTTTCATGAATATGATATACCTTTTAGCCACACATAACATGTTTAACTGTGACTATAACATACTTATACTTATACATTTTTTTCTTTTATCATGACAAATGTTTATTTTTAAACACACATAATAAACTAAACATGACCATAAAACACTTATAGTTACTTGTTTGGTTGCTCTTAATCAGTGTGTAATAAACGCTATCGTATGACACACAAATAATTAATGTAGCCATATATTACCTTTTAGTTACATTGCATTCAAATGTCAATATCTGCTCCATGATACAGCCACATAAACATTTGTTTCATGTGACCATATAATAATCTATTATCTCTAATAAAAACCATCACAAAGTTTTTCCATATATCTAACAAAAATGTGACGGATGGTGACATTTAGCCTCATTGTTCCAGTATGGCTAATAATTGTCACATTTGTTATGTTTAAACGTGTCTAAAGGTTTCAACTATATTGCTAATGGTCATGAAATACAACTTAAAATGTCATTAAAACAATGGTAGAATTTTAGCAATAACCTTTAGACACAATTTTAGTCAAAAGTCTGGCTGGGCGGTTTTGGCAAAAGTGTGACCATAGGTCATTTTTGTACTAGTGCTCGTCAAGTCCAAGCTCATCATCATAAGGCTCGTTGAGTCACCCATACGACTCGCCAAGTTACTACGCGACTCAATGTCTGATCTAAAGCCCGACTCGCCGAGTCATCTCCTAGACTCGCCGAGTCCATACGTGCATTCCCATAATCTTGAGTCACAGAGCTACTCCTTTGCTCCAAACAATAGATCTGGGTCTCTAAGGTCCGTTAGCAACATTAAGTTGCTACTTTTACGTGCTTCTTGCCCCATAATACCAAAAACCAAGCTAGAAAGGGACTTAACTCTTGGGGAAAGGCTTTTGCATAACAACTAGAAAGGCTTTCTGCATCAATGATCCATATAGAACTCAGATCTGGAGTTTCAATTCCAGATCTAACTCATGCTTCAAGATCTCAACAATATTTCTCCAACCAAACCCCAAAACACCATGAAAATGGAACTATAAAGGAGAAGGCCAAGGATAACGATTCCTTGCCTCCAAAATGACCTCCCACTGAAGTATAATCCGGATCTCTTCAAGTCTCCTTGATCCAAGCTTCTTGATCTTCAAAATCCCTTCACAAATCACACCAATTTGCTTCCAAGTCTTCTCACAACTGAAATTAGGGCTTCTGGATCCCAAAAGGGTAGCAAAGAGGCTGATGATGGGTTATAATGTGCTTTATATAGGGCACAACCCCCGGGATTAGGGTTTTCTCCCTTCAGCACCAACTCGTCAAGTACAAGCCACCGACTCGACGAGTTGGCCACTTAAACCCGCAACAAATCCCGCTCTGACTCGTCGAGTAAGCATGCCTACTCGTCGAGTCCCTTTCCTTAATTTACAATTTAAGCCCTTCAACAACACCTCTGGAATTTGGGGTGTTACAAATTTATTGTTAATAAATTTACTTTTTATAGTACATCTGTTTAATTTTTATAAGATAAATTTTGTTTTCAAATTTTCGTAAAATATTTATGTTTTCGCATGAACTTACTTTTACATATATATAATATATATATATATATATATATATATATATATAATATATATATATATATATATATATATATATATATATATATTATTTTATCATATTTCCCAACTGCTTTTGTGAAACAAGGTTTATAACCGATTGAACAATAAAAATGGGTGGAATTATGTTTTATTCCTACTTATTTCAATATTATGTCCATTTTTAAAAAGTGGTTCCTTTTTCATAGATTTCTAGCCGTTACATTAAGTTTAGTTTCATTTAAACTTGGTTGGATAGATTAGTACAAATAAGTGTATGATGGATCATTTATCTTCCACTTACAAAATTAAATATTAAGCATGCATTAAAGTAGCATATAAATATACATGATATAAGAAAAACATTTTATTGCAAAAGAAAGGACTGAATTGTTACCCACGAAGTATTGACTTCACACATGGTACACTTAATTTAGCAAACACATTGATTCATATTGTATAAATTAAATCAAACTAGGAACATACAAAACCATTTGGGACTTCACCACCACAGACATTAACGAGCAAGCTAAGAGATAATGGTACATTAAGATTGATCCCTAGGACGTTGGCTTTGATTGCAGTGCACAAACAGACAGCAGCCTCAAGGTCGGCAAGTCCTTGGATGAGAGAGCAACATGGCTTCACCGGTGGTGAACCTAACTCAACTTTGACCAATCCCCCAAGAAGATTAGCACAAACCCCCAGTTTCAAGGCGTCTCTAGGGCAGGTTTCTGTATTTGGGTTTGTGTTTGGTACTGTGTTCGGGTTAGAGTTGGGATTGGGGTTGGGGTGTGGTTCGTGTTAGTGTTGGGGTTGGGGTTTTGGTTAGTGTTAGGGATGGGGTTGGAGTAGGGATTGGGGTTTGGGTTGGGTTTTTTATTTGGATTGAGGTTGGGTTCTGGTATGTCGGACGTCTCACAGCCACTAACCATGACGCAGAATAAAAGGTTGAAAGCTATGACCAGAACAACGGACACATTACTCTTTGATGCCATGCCGAAATCGGTTATGAAAACTTTGTCAATTATGGTGAAGGAAGAGTGTGATAGAGTAAGGGTACAATGGAACATTATATAGGTCTCTGTGGAGTAATATTTTTTGTTTAAATATATTCCAGTTAGTAATTGAGTCAAATTAGCATGTTATAGTTTTTGCTGCCACCAACCCATGCACATCAAAGCGTACGTTGAAAGTCCTTCTTTTTTTTTGAACAAAACCAGATGCATTATACTAATTGCAAATAAAAAATATATATGTGCTCCAACGGATTAAACTTTAACAGGGTATATATATTATCTTATATATCTGTTGTTCAAATCTTTTTTTAGTCTGATATATATGTTCAAATCTTTAACAGGTATGTGCTTTGCATGTAGGGTAACTTCGGAAATACATTTTGTTTCTGTATACGTACTGTTCTAAAACTGAATATATATTTATGTTTTATATATACAGGGGTCGGCTACAATGAAAAATAAAGAAAAGATAGCAATAATTTTGTAAAAGTTACCAATTACGAAGAAGAGGTGAAAACATCAAACCCTTAAATGTCCAGTAAATGTCCACTAAAGCTACAGACCACGTTTACGTTTTTCCATTTTCTAAATGGATGCAAGTCACGCTATCATAGAATAATTAGAAGAGAATCATAGAATAATTAGAAGAGAGGGACATCGAATCAATCCCATGATTTCAATGTTTGTCACATGAAAGATTTTGGGCATCTTAAATATAAATACAGTCAATAAGCAGTTCCTTTGAAGCAGGCGAGGATATATGTATTAACTGACTCTATATATCAAGATTGAAGACCCTTAATTATAATTTTAACAAAATTCTAAGTAAATCTCCTGATATCCAAAGGGGTTTTCTATAAGTACCCTATCATTTTTCCAATTCCACCTTTTGATTTGATTTTTTGTCTTATTTCTTTTGTTGTTATTATTGTTTTTCTTTTTTAAATTTATTTTTAATTTTTTATTATTATTATTATTATTATTATTATTATTATTATTTTAAACTTCGAACAAAATTTTATAGTTTGGACGACATTATACACTACAAGAAAATCACTATTTAGCGGCGACGCTATTACCGGCGACAGAGACTTTTAGTGGCGACTCTAGAAAGTGTCACCGCTAAAAGCCCCTAATAACGTTGCCGCTAAAGGGTGATCACGTGAATCCGTGTCTTCCCATTCCGTTACATCTACACCGTTCGATCAAATATCAAATCCAATGGTTAGGGTACCCTTATCCGGACTAACTTAATACCGGCAACATATGTGTCGCCGCTAAAGGTTGAAAATGTCGCCACTAATAATGCACTAAAAAATGATGTGGTACCCTTCCCTCCAGATTGTCACTGCTATTGATAAGAGTCGCCGGTAATAACCTAATTGTCGCTGCTAAAGGCGGACGCATATAAAAAAAACGCACGCAGAACTTCATTCTTCTCACTTGCTTTCTGTTTGCTGCCTTTTCTTCTTCGCCCCTTACACCATCTACCGAGTTCATCTTCAATTTGCTTCTTCCATCTTGATTTCTCCATATATTGTGTCATATTAAGGGTATTAGGGATTAAGGTGTGATTTGGGACCAAATCATAGTGGGCTGATATTGGTGCCTTCGACCCACATGTATAGTGAAGAGACTCACTTGACTCACACATCAACTAAACCACAACTCAAAGCCTTGCAACTGATGCTACAACACTCCTATCACATCATACAAGGTCCACCTATAGTCTACACACTAAAACCAACCATCATGACAAAAAATCATCCCATGTCAAAAGTCAACGTCAAAGCCAACATCCAACGTTGACTTCAGTCAACGTCCACATTGTGGCCTTCCTTCGCTAATTCGTGGCTCTCATATAAACAATAATATGGGAAATTTCCAATCACCATAAATCACCAAGGGAGTGAGAGATAGGTTTCTACGAGGTATATGGGTGTTAGATGTTGGTAATGAACCCAAGAAATGTCTTAGAGGGGATTAAATACAAAGCAAACCCAAAACTAACCATCGGCTTAGGCTAGAACAATTGCCACGTTGTGGCCATCCTTGGCCATGCCATGGTGGTCCACCAAGACACATAATCCATATTATCAGTGCCATGTCGTGGGCATCCTTGCACCATGTCGTGACACAAGGTTTCCTCCAAAACTTTATCTTTGGTTCTTGATAAAGGTTAGCTTAACCAATCTGGAACACAGGTGTTGCATGTAAATTGCTTACATCATGTTATGTATTGATATATAATACTATTGGTAAAGAAATATAAGAATGTTGCAAGAACAGTACAGGAATTGTAAGTATATTACTTGTATTTATAAAGAAATGCAAGAAATAAGCAAAGTATGTATCTATTTCTTTTACTTGTTATTTTCTCTAGTTATTTTTATGCGTTAATTGCTAGAAACAAACAAATTCCTATGTTACTTCTTTCATTTAAGATAAACAAATACATGTTATATTGTACTTGTCTTATTTTTTGTTATTATAGGAAGAAATGATGAAGTTCATTCTTTAGGGAGTTCTTGGAAGAAGCTTTATTTGCCTTTCATTATTTTTTTTTTTGGGATCGAGGTCGTATGGAATGAACATTTAGTTTTTTTAGTATGTTCAATTTGCTTGTAGTCAATTATGAATGTTTTTTTTTTTGCTAGTTGAAGTATTTCAATTTTTATGACTTGTATTTTTCATTTGTGGTTTGAAATACTATGTTATAATACTTTTAATTAAAAATGGTACTTTTAACACATATATTCATATTTACATCCTTATGTTTTTTTCTTTGTTTATACACATCTGAACATTATTACTTGCATATGTATTGTTTAATTCCCACACAAAAAGTTACATCCTTATGTTTTTTGTGGGATCGAGACTGCATTTTAACACCGCTTATCGTCTACAGACCGATGGTCAGAGCGAGCGGACCATTCACACCCTCGAGGATAAGTTGCGGGACTTCATCATTGATTTTTGGTGGGAGATGAGACTCCTACCTACCCCTTGCAGAGTTATCCTACAACAACAGCTTTCATTCCAACATTGGTGCTCCACCTTTTGAGCTGTTGTATGTACAGAGATGTCATAACCCAATATGTTGGGGCGAGGCTGGTCACAGGGTCATGGGGCGGGCCGAGGTGGTTCTACAGACTACCGAGATGATTCAGCAGATCAGGCAACAATTACAGACTGCCTATAGTCGATAGAAGAGTTACGTTGATCGGCGTCGATCTGAGTTGGAGTTTCAGATCGGTGACATGGTGCTCCAAAGGGTCTCACCCTGTAAGGGTGTGATCCGTTTTAGGAAGAGGGGAAAGTTGGGTCCTCGATATATTAGGCCATCTCGGATCATTGCCAAGATTGGCAAACTGGCGTATACATTGGATCTCCGGAGGAGTTCAGTCAGATTCATAGCACCTTCCACGTTTCCTAGTTGCGGAAGTATGTATTGGACGAGGACACGGTAGTATCATTGGACGACATTCAAGTTGATGAACGCCTGAATTATGTTGAGAGGTTGGTGGTTGCTTTAGAAAGAAAGGTAAAGGTTCTGTTCAACAAGGAGATACCTTTGGTAAATGTATAGTGGCAGCATCAGAGGGGATCCGAGTGGACCTGAGAGCCGGAGGCTAAGATGCGGGAGCATTATCGGGATTTGTTCACTGCAGTAGGCTTCAAGGACAAAACCTAGTTTAAGTGGAGGAGAGTTGTAATATCCGGATTCCCAGGTATGAAATCTTAGGAATTTATGCATTTTATAAGTCGTACTCGACGAGTTGGGAGGCCCAACTCGTCGTGTAAAATCAAGAAGGACATGTATTCCATAAAACCTACTCGACAAGCTGGAAGACCTTAACTCGATGAGTTGGTGGCTGAACATGAAACCCTAAATTTTAGGGTTTACAACCTATATAATCTCCTTAAGCCTTTGAGACTGACCATTTATTAGCCTCCAAACCCTAATATCGACCTTGTGAGCCCTAATCTAATTTCCTCTCATATTGTGAGCTAGTGTGGCACTTTGGAGCAAAAGAAAGGGAAGTTAGTGAGAAGGAGGCAATGATCTAGCAAGTAATCCTTTGATCTTTAGTTTGGCACTATTGTGGACTGTTGTGAGTATCCAAAACCCGATATATATACATATATATATATACACACACACACACACACATTTTTGGGTTTTGAACATTCTAACACTCCTATGGTGTACATGAAACCCTAAATACCTTGGATCTATGTTTTCTCTAATATACATGCAAACTTGAACTTTCCAAGGTATTACCCTATCTAGCATACAAAACTTTGATACTTGGGTAATAAAACAAGTTAGATAACATACCTTTTCTTTATAGGTTGTTTCTTGGACTTTCAAGACCTTAGCAGAAATAGTATGAATGCCTCAACTGGAATCACAACACACCTAGAACAAAGGATAACATGAGGAGAGATTCCTTGCACACACAAATAGGCTAGCCCTCTAGTATTCCACTTAAGTGCCGATTTCATGAGTTAAAGGGGTTCTTATATAGTGTGGCAAACTAGAGTTACACCATGTAACCCCTAATGACTTTCCATATTCCTCATGCTCCATGGGTTAAACTTTCATGGAGTATCCATGGGTTACCACATGGGTTTAGCCCAACATGAAGAACTATGGATCATAAGCCCACTTTATAAGAATGAATGATTTACCAAGCCAACCCCTTATATTTAATCAGTCTCTTTTAATCAAAATTAATTTCAAATTATTTCTTGATCAATACTAATTAAATAATATGATTTCATATTAATATATTAGAACTTATAATATATTAATAAGCCATAAATAACTTCTTCTTAAAAGTCCATCCTATCAAATTGTCATGATGATATGCCGTTGATTAGATGTCTAAACCGATAACTATTATTGCTATGTACTCGACCTGAGAGTAGCATGGTCCATTTGGGTCGCATATCATCAGGATAATTTGTTAGGACGGACTCTTGAGAGAAATGTTATATATGATTTATTAATATATTATAAATTATAATATATTAATATGAAATCGTATGTTTTAATTAGTATTGATCAAGAACTAATTTGGAATTAATTTTGTGATCAAAAGAGACTAATTAAATCTATGGGGAATAATTATGATAATTAGTTATATTTATATGTGTTGGGCTTATAATCCATGAATATTTTCATCATATTGATGCTTGTGATTGACAATTTGTTTAGAGATGCCACAATAGTGGTTTCTTTTTCATAGATTTCTAGCCGTTACATTAAGTTTAGTTTCATTTAAACTTGGTTGGATAGATTAGTACAAATAAGTGTATGATGGATCATTTATCTTCCACTTACAAAATTAAATATTAAGCATGCATTAAAGTAGCATATAAATAATATAAATATACATGATATAAGAAAAACATTTTATTGCAAAAGAAAGGACTGAATTGTTACCCACGAAGTATTGACTTCACACATGGTACACTTAATTTAGCAAACACATTGATTCATATTGTATAAATTAAATCAAACTAGGAACATACAAAACCATTTGGGACTTCACCACCACAGACATTAAGGAGCAAGCTAAGAGATAATGGTACATTAAGATTGATCCCTAGGACGTTGGCTTTGATTGCAGTGCACAAACAGACAGCAGCCTCAAGGTCGGCAAGTCCTTGGATGAGAGAGCAACATGGCTTCACCGGTGGTGAGCCTAACTCAACTTTGACCAATCCCCCAAGAAGATTAGCACAAACCCCCAGTTTCAAGGCGTCTCTAGGGCAGGTTTCTGTATTTGGGTTTGTGTTTGGTACTGTGTTCGGGTTAGAGTTGGGATTGGGGTTGGGGGTGTGGTTCGTGTTAGTGTTGGGGTTGGGGTTTTGGTTAGTGTTAGGGATGGGGTTGGAGTAGGGATTGGGGTTTGGGTTGGGTTTTTTATTTGGATTGAGGTTGGGTTCTGGTATGTCGGACGTCTCACAGCCACTAACCATGACGCAGAATAAAAGGTTGAAAGCTATGACCAGAACAACGGACACATTACTCTTTGATGCCATGCCGAAATCGGTTATGAAAACTTTGTCAATTATGGTGAAGGAAGAGTGTGATAGAGTAAGGGTACAATGGAACATTATATAGGTCTCTGTGGAGTAATATTTTTTGTTTAAATATATTCCAGTTAGTAATTGAGTCAAATTAGTATGTTATAGTTTTTGCTGCCACCAACCCAGATGCATTATACTAATTGCAAATAAAAAATATATATGTGCTTCAATGGATTAAAATTTAACAGGGTATATATATTATCTTATATATCTGTTGTTCAAATCTTTTTTAGTCTTATATATATCTTCTAAATATTCAAATTGCGTGGTATATGTGCTTTGCATGTAGGTTTATGGAAATACATTTTTGCTTCTGTATAGTTTTCTAAAACTGAATATATTTTATGTTTTATATATAAATGGGTCGGCTACAATGAAAAATAAAGAAAAAGTTAGTATGCAATAATTTTATAAAAGTTACGGATTACAAAG